TATTATCTGTCTTGGCTAATTCTGAATAAATATTCCAAGTGTCCTCATACTTTTTATATTTATAAAGATATTCTGCGACATCTATAGCTTGTTTTATATCTTGTTCTACACCATTCCCATATATATAACACTATATAATATGTGGCCAGGCCAATGATTTTAATATCACTGGGTTTTTAAATTCACTACAGGGTGTGGTAACAAAATTATAAAAGCTTTCAAAGGCTTGTTTATATTTTTTGTCATTATAATCTTTAATTGTAGTATCAAGTTTAAGTTTATTCCAACTGATCCCAAAATTCATCATGAGTTTGACTAAAAAGTTGACTTCAATTATCTACTTATATGTTTGAAATCTAGTTTTTCTTTTGTTGTCATCTTAATTCTAATATCCAAATTTAATAAAATTAAAGATCAAAACTATTATTTATTTACTACCTGTTAACTAAACAGTTTTAATTTAAATTCATATCTCTAATTACGATATTAAATAATGTACAAAAATAAATTTGTTAATTTAATAAATTAATTTGTTAATTCATTAATTTAAATAATACAAATACAATTAGATCAAACTCTTAATTGATTTTATATAATATATTTAATCAATTCACAATTAATAGTGTAAGTTTATAAAATTCCAAATTAATAGATTGTATATTATTTATAGGATGGATCAAGGATTTGTAAAAATATAAGCTAACGACAAACAAAAGATTATTTAAACTATATTCTTAATTCTTGCTTTTCAAGAATTTGGGTTCGTATGGTTTTCTAGAGTTTCTTATAAACATGAATTTTATTGAAGACGATTCCATAATTCCGGCCAGAATTATGTTGGTCATGAATTATTTTAATACAAGCTAAACGATTATTACCTTTTTCAATTGAATTTCCAGAACAATGAAAACGCGAAAACATAGATTAAAATGTTGTAAAGTTAACGAAATTTTTATTTAACTTAGAGAATTATTATTTGAAATTTCACATACGGATTGAAATAACCCTATATTTTTTTATTCAAAAGCAGCTTATACAGTAAATTAGTAATAATAATATCCTGATCGGTTGGGAATTAGCGGAGACGAAGTTTCCGCTTATTCACATATGGTCAGGATATTATTAATTAATCCTCCCGTGATCTTGATTACAATTATAGAGTAATTGCGAAATTTTTTTAAAAAAATGTTAAGTGTATATAAACAAATTAAAAATCTATTCAAAATTATTTGGCACCAATCATTCCATGTGATTAATTTTTATCTCACATATAATAAATTTCGTTGAGCTTATAGTTTAGTCGGCAATGTTTAAGAAACACTCTTTCGTTTAGAATCTGATAGGCCTTCCAAAACTCATTCTTAAGTTTTATGAATTTTCAAGATTTCTCTGGATTAATAGGTTCTTCAACATATAGACCAATATAATGATTCCAATTTTTTTTCTTTTTTAGTGAAGTATTTGCCTTGGCGAAGAGATACGACGTACTATCGTAATCAAATTCATAAGAAAAACAAAAATCAAAATTTATAATATTTTTTTAGAGTACGTTGTACACGTGTTTACTCGTTTCACAGATCAATAATAATATCTGCTCGAGAAGTTTTCGATTTAAATGACTCAGTAGAAAAAACAGACTACTTGATACAGAGACATTTGAAACAAAAAATGAATCAACAATTGAGCTCTCTAAAGTGTTAGAAAAAACAATGTCAGGATATTTCGTTATGAATTTTAAGAATATAAAGGACGAAATTGACAATTTTTTCAAGAGATTTTTTTACATAAATCATTTTAGAATTATTTTTCACTTAAAACACAACAGTAGTTGTATTAATAAAAATTGATCTTTTGTTTTGTCAATTTCGTCTCTTTTTGCAGCACCTAGCCCATATGATCGACAGAGAACGGAAAACCAATGAACAATACTGATATATCGATGCTATTACTTAGTTCAAGAAACGTGCATTACATAAAGGAGGTTACAAAAGCGCGATTGACGCGATGAAAAATGATGGAAGCGCACAATAGCGATGCTTGTTAGTTTTTAATAGAAAAGAATTTGACAATTGATTATTAATTGAATTTAATAAAGCCTTTGATCAACTTTCGATAATTTTAGCCAAATACTGTATAGTATTTAATTTTGTAGTTTTCTTGATGAAATATTTAGAATATTATTAGCTTTTGCAATGATTTTATTAATTATATAAAAATTAGATTAAATTTTTAGGTCTTTCATGTTTTTACTTAATAAATAAAATATTTATCATTTTAATTGTAAAAATCTCGAGATAAACAAAAATACGAAATTTGAGCTTCCTTTATCATTTTGCTTGTGTTGTCTAAAGAACCAAAATTAATAGATCTTGGAGTAATATTAATTGCTCCGTGATATTTACCAAAATTCAAATCGCCAAGGAATTGACTTATGAATAATGGAGATGAAAATTTTCCATTTTTAGTATCGATATTTTTACTAATAACATTTTGTATATCCTTTAATTTAGTAGTTAAAATATTACTTCTGGAAAAGATTTTTAGTTTTAGTTTATCACTCGAGGTAATATTAATTTTACCGAAACAATCTTCGTGTTTAGTGAAACTATTTCCAATTATACTATTTAAAATAAATTAAAAAATTAGTAAAGGGCAAGTAAACAAAATTCTAAAAGTGTTTTTACAAACCAGATGTGTAATTTCAATATTTCTGAAAAATAACAGTCAGTTATTGGTTTGTTGTTTTCAATATCATAAATAGAAACATATGCAGAATTACTGGAAAGAGAAAAGTGAGTGCTAATCGCAAATCCGAACTTATAAGAACTTGAAAGATCTAAAGAATCTAAAGTCCTATCCAAAATGCATGTTGCTAGTATACATTCATCTTTTCTGCAGTTCGGAATATCAAATAAATATCCATTAAAACGAATTTGAGGTTTTGAATATTCTTTACTTTGAAATGTCAAATGAAGATGATTCGAATCAAAAGTAAAGTTATTCGGATATCCAGTTACAACCCAGGCTAATTGAATTGGGTATATTTTATTCTTTGATTTTTCATTGCTGTCAATATGATGAATAACGACAACAGGGGTATTGTCATAAATATATTCTACATGTGATGAAAAAATATTTTGTTCATTTTCTGTCATTATTGAAGTAAAGATTTGGCAATTTCTAGTATAATGAGGTATATCACGTATATTAAGCGTATATACATGCGGACTTTTCCTATCTTTATATAATCTAAATTGAATATTTTCAGTTCGTGCTATTTTTATTCATTAAAATTTAGTTAAAAAATATTAAAGTTTTAACGATCAAATAAAATTACTATTATTACCTGCTAAGATTCTCTGCCCAAAAGCTTCTAAAACTTTTAGTCGCAATTTATAATCCAGCGAATCAAATATTGAGTGAATATTATTATATCCAATTATGCCCCATGTTTGAAAATCACTAAGAGAATTAACCCATTCTCCAAAGTCAGTTGTATAGATTTCATGTTTTCCACCAATAATTATTTTATAGTTACCAGTACTAGAAATATTTTCATTGATACTAGAAAATTTTGCATTCCCAAGTTCTATTGATGCACTTAATTTGGAATGTTCTGTTATAATTTCATGGACTGCGCCACCAAAATCAATTTGATTTGCATAAAAATAGCCATAAATTTTTGATATTTCAAAAAGGTTACTTTTTATTTTATCAGAAGAATCCATTAAGGCGTGTTGAACATCATTTATAAAACTTTCAGTTGGGATAATACCTGATGGTGGTATAAAAATTTGCGCCTTCTTAGCATGAATTGTTTTGTAACTTTTGGTCTCTTTTTTAGAAGATTCTTGTGATATCTCAAAAAGACTAAAAAGACAGGACAAATCATCTTGCATAAAGTTTTGTTTACATAAAGCTTCCAATTCACTATTGCACGTATATTTGGATTCAGAGTATTGATTGTACTTCATAATTTCAATATGACTCAAATTAATCTTGAATGCTTTTTTAGGAGCCTTTTGAATTTGATTTCCACTATATATGAAACCACCATCACACATAGCAATTAATTGTGTTAACATTAAATCAATTTCATGCTCAATATGCAGAATATATGTATCATTGTTGATCTCCAAAACATCTTCCAGATTAAAATTAAATTCATCACAACGTAAGATACGCCCTAAATTTTTTTTTAGAAAATAAAAATTTGTTCCTAAGCCTAATTCATCATCTTCTAAAAACTCTCGGACCATCCCAAGTGTTGTTTTTTTACGTATTTTACGAATAAAACTCTCATTGTTGCCACAATTGTCGACTTTTTTAATTATGACAACTAAATGGTCATCATTAGATGAGTTATTATTTCGTCGGAATGGATTAGGAAGCTTATCATACATAGTTTTCCAAGAGAATTTTTTATCTTCTGAAATTTGCATAATATTAATCTCTTGAAATACAGCCTTGTTGTCTTGCTTTAATGGAATTTTTGGTTGGTCCATAAGTATGTTCTTTTCTGAAGAAAGAATTTCTTTATTATCCTCTAAAACTTTTGTATTTTTGAATTCCAAGTCAGATTTCTTTGTATTAATATCTTGACCTTCAGATTTCCTAGTATTAATATCCTGACCTATTGCCTTCAAATGTGTCATAGTTTCCGGATTTTTTGTATGAATAATATACCATTCAAGTAAATAATTCTGTTCACAATTGAGACTTTTAATGGATATTTTACTTTTATCATCACTTTCAGAATATAAAGTCGTAGAAAGGTCACTATAACTTTCACGGTCACTATCAATGATGGAATCTTTTTCATTGCTTAATCCTAAATTTTTTATATTTAGACTAATTTTATTGTTTTCATAGTATTGAATATTGGCTAAAAAAGTTGGTTCGAAATTTGATAAGGGATATATAAAACCGGTAATAATTATTGAATTTATTGGTAGACTTTCAGAAACTTCTAAGAGAGTTTCCCAATTATCTTTATCTATTGCTGGTACGAACAAAGTTTTACCAGTGCACAAAATCTCAATGTTTCGTGTGTAAACACTGAAAAATCCAACCTCGGCAGGTATCCCGACCATAATCCAATTTATTTTCAAATCTCTGAATGTTTTGCTAAAAAGGAAAATTAGTTGTAATAATATAAAAATAACAAGTATAATAATAATAAAACTAACACATACAAAGTTGTATCAATATTTTCAATTATTGCCATGAATCCAAATATAGTCTTATATTTGAACTTAATAATTATTTGGTCTGTTAAATTTCCATTTGATGCTGTAGCTTTTCCAAAAATTTTATAATTATTAGCACGCAATTGAATAGAGAATTTTACGGTATAGGAATGGATATTATCTTCAATTGGTATAACTCCTGAATTGAGTACCCTTTCTTTAACTGCAAGAACATATTTGACTTCTTGACAAAGAGAGTCATCAAATGTTTCATAAATTGGATATAAATCACACCAGCTAATTAATTGTAATGATCTAAGATCTAATTTTAAGCAAGAATCCATCCATTCTCTAAGTTTGTCTCTTTTTACTACTTTACCATCAATAGATAATAAATAAGATGCATCAATATTGTATGGCTTTACAATATTTTCCCATTCATCTAAAATATGTTCAAATTCATCATTTGTCTGAAAATATTTAAGAATTGACAAGTTATTGCTATTTGTTGTTATCGAAGCATCATTTATTTCTAAGTTTAACATTCTATTTAACTTATGTCCGAAAATGAGTTTTTTTGGTAAAAATTGACCATAAATTCCAAATACTTCCATTAAATTATAATAAGGATTATTGTTTTTCAAAGCATTTTTAATTGCATCAATCAATTCTTCAGCTGGGTTTATTGTTCCTTTTTCAAAAATTAATTCAACTTGTACACATTGTATTTCGAGATAAATATCATTGGTGGGTAACTCACAAAATAGAATGTTTCTTATAAATTTCGCAATATTATCGAATATGACCGGATTAATATGATTTTTTAACAAAAATGAATCTATAGATTTCTTTGATGTTACTAAAAAGGATGTGCCTTTAGAAAATTCAATTGAGGGTTGTTTTTTAAATCTGCACACTGAAGATTTGGTAAAAAATGTTCGTTCATTGTTGATAATCAAACCATTATCAAGTTTTTGAAATTTTATCAAATCTAAAATTAATGAATCATTGCTAATAATTTGACCTGCTGCCTTCAAATGAGCTGTCGTTATAGGGGAGCAGTACATATTATCTAATTTCAGATTTTCTGGAATAATAAGAATGCACCATTGAACTTTACATTCCAGATTCCTAATAAACTCAACATATTCTTCTTGATCATTGTAAGGTACTTGTTCGAGAGTTTGTTCTTGTATTTTTTCATCATGAGTAGCCTTGTTATTACTTCCAAAATCATGTTCAAGATCACGTACAGTAATTATAATTTCTTGATCATAATAATATTGAACTTCGGCTATGAAATTTGGATCATAATTTGACGGAGAATGTGTAAATGAAGTAACAAGAATTGAACCTATTGGAAGATTATTTGTTACTTTTAATGAAATATTCCAATTATTATCATCTGGAAATGGTGTTTCACCAGAATATAAAACACGAATATTTCGGGCATCTTTGCTATAATGTCTTATTTCAATTGGATTTCCGATTAACAACCAAGTAATCTGTAGATTAGTTAATTCTTCGATGCTAAAGGAAATTTTAATAAACATTGTTATAATACTGCATTATATAATTAGAAATAAAAATAATTTCAACATTTACCCAATTTCAAAATTTGCTGTAAATCCATTTATATCCATAGATTGAAATTTTACAATATTTTCATTGTTTAGTTCTCCACGTTCTGTCATAACTTTTCCAAATATTCGATAATTGCTAGAACGTAAAGGTGTAGAAAAGTTTACGCGGAAATAATTTGTATAATTTTTTATTGGTATTACTCCAATCATAAGTACCCTTTCCTTAGTATTTGATTGATTATAATTTAATTTATCATCAATTTTAAGGTTAGACTTGATTTTTTGACAGAGAGATGACTCAAATATTTCATATAATGGGTGTAGTTCACTTCAACTTATTATCTTCAAGGAACCTACATCACCTTTTGAAGATTCATCCGCCCATTCTTTAAGTTTATCTCTCATAACGATATTACCATCAATAGACACTAAATATGATTTATCAAAGCCGTATTGTTCTGCGAGGCTTTCCCACTTACTCAAGATATTTTCGTTTTCACATTCGATTGATAAATCTTCTTCATTAATATTAAATCTTGGTAAATTTTTGTCTACGATTGAACATTTCATTTGATATAATTTATGTCCGCGTATAACTTTTTTAGGTATTAAATGCCCGTATGTTCTAAAAACATTCATTAATTCTGAATAGGTATCGGTATTATCTAGTGCCTCAGTCACTTTCTTTATCAGCTCCTTGGATGGTTTTATTGTCTCATTTTCAAAAATCAATTCTTCTTTGGGATACCTTATTTCGAGATAAATATCATTTGTAGGCGATTCGTCAGTTAGAGGGTTTTCTGTAAAATTCGTGGCCTCGGATATCCAGTCACTATACAAATCAATACTAGAAGGATCAATGTGATTCTCTAATAAATAGGTGACTTTACGTTTTGGAAAAGATATCAATTTTATTTGAAATTTTCCGTCCAGAGTGTTAATTGCAGGTTTCATTTTAAAATTATATATTGGAAAATCCCAAAATGTATGCATTGCGCATCTATTATGAAACCACGATTTTTTATTTCTTCCTCGGCTTGTTCTTTTTGATGGCGCTTTGTCCAATTTTTTACATAGTGCCGGTTTGACTCAAATAAATAAATAAAAATTATTATTATAAGTGAAATAATAATGCTATATACAAGTAGGCTGAATATGTCTAATTCGTCCATGTTGATGAAAAATTTTGAATCTCTGCTTTTATGCAAGAGTGTACGTAATCCGAGACACAACCTACCTAAATTGCTTTATTAAGTTTTCTGAAGCACATAAAGTTTAGTCGTACCGATACGCCCAACATTGAAGATTATTACAAAATTTAATATATTTATTGTTATCGCCTTTAAATTTATTTTAGACTAAACCGCAAATACTGCTTTGTCACTATGGATAAAGATAACACTAAATTAGAAAGATATAAATTATATAGTGTCGCATTTTTTGTTTTTAGTATAATTTTTAGTTATTTTATGATTTTAAATCGCAGAAAAAACTTACAAATCACAATTATTAAAAAATATCCAAGTCGAAGAGAGGAAAAATTTTTAATAGAATTGTCATTACAAGACAAACTTATTCAAGTTAGAACTAGGCTCAAGGAAATTATGAGCTTAGATTGTTATTTTATGACAAGCAAAGATGTTAAAGCCCTAAACGAATCTGAATTAAGCGTATCAGATATTATTGAAAATAACGTTGACAGCCATTTTTTACATATTGGGCAACCAACAGAATTTAATTACACTAGTTTAAATGATGAAAAAGCATTCGTCGTAAGTGAATATGAATATATTAAACAAGCCATTAGAAATGCTTTTAAAATTAAGATCAGCAAAATTAAATTAATAAATGAGGAGTTCTCGAAAACAATTGAATCAAAATGTAGACATAAATGCGAAAAAGAGTGTAAAAGAAAATTCATTTTTGATGGCAGATTCTCAGTCCCAGATGCTACGCAATGGTTTTCTGCTATTTTTGGATTCTCTCTAGATAATTCTAGGCAGGAGAATTCACAATACACCGTCTCGACTGAACATAAGATTTCTGTATTTCGAAAAGCTAAAATAATTTTAGAATACAAAAATAATGAGTGTATTGAACCTACAGATGATTTTATTAATGATGTTAAAACAGCATTAAATGATTCTGACCCAATAAGAGAACTTCGCAGGGTTTCGGAAAATTATGGTTATTTTTATGCGCGTATCCTTTACGTGGGAGCCTCCATCGATAAAAATATAATTAATACTGAAGACTCAAGTAATTGTTAATTATTTGTTAATTATTTATTCACTAAACCGGTACTTTTTCTAATTTTGAAAACTTTCTTTGATTATAGGTACAATACACAAATCTGGAAATATAGCTGGATTGTTTAAAACCGGAACTTCGAATGCCAATGCAAACATTGGAGCTACTCATAAAAAAGAAATAAGAACAAATTCTTCTAACAGTAATTCAGAAATTACGGATCAATCTATTGGTACAACTGATCCTAAAAACTGGGAAGTAATTGGGTATGATAAGATTTATTCAATATTTGAATTGTTAAGTATTGATTTGCGACAAATGGTTTTAGAAGCTTTAGGCAAGAGAATTTTAGATGGTTCGTTATCAATTTTTTTAATAATAATTATTTTGCAATTTTTTTAATTTTTTTTTTTTTTTAAATAAAAACAGCGGGTGTTATTGATATAAAATTTTTTGCGAAAAAAACTAAAGAATTCATACCAACTAAATATCGCTTATCTGGGTATATAGATGATACTATTGATATAAGTAGATGTCAGATATTCACTTCAATAATGAGCAAAAATGGCAGTAATAATTTATTTTCTTCATATGTGCATTATCGCGATTTTGGAAGCGAACCAGAAGTCATTGTACATCTTATTAATCGATCAGGAAATAGATTTAATAAAGACTATTCAGCTCAACTTAGTTGGATTGTTGTCGGACCACTTACAAGCTTCGATTTTAGTTCAAAACATCAGAGAGAAAGAGAGAGAGAGAAAAAGAGAAAGCGAGGGATAGAACCTAATTCTACTATGCAGGACTTACTTTATCTGTTTTTAAAATTAGAGACTAGAAGATTTGATATTTCTGAAAATCAGAATATTGATGAATTTAATAATTCATCTTTTGACACTCAAGAAACATGCGTATTGGGAATTTGTGAATTAAAATCTAACTTTAATAATGATACAATTGTTTATGGTGCTCACTTGACATCTCATACACGATCTGCACATTTGTTTGCTTATTGTCTTAAAGATAATAAAGAACGTGAGGATTTGCTAAACGTGTCATTATCCATTTGGCAAGTAAAATACTCTCATTTTATTAACAAACCCTAGCGTCACAACCTAAAAAATTTCGCTGTCTTGGTCAAATTAAATTTCAGGTGTATCATAAAATCAAACAAAAAATTAACACTAATGGTGGTAGCGAAATTTTTTAGGTTGGTGACGGCTAGGGTTTTACATTTCATTTGGGACTTGAATTATTATTCTAATTTTTTGCAAATTATTCCTTATGACAGCATTATCAATAATGTTAGGTCTTCTCAACAATATAAAATTGGTCAAACTTATGTTGACTTGAAATCCAATAAAAATTTTTGTATAGCAAATACTTGTCAAAATAAGAAAATTAATATAGAATTTCCAATATTGGTGAATCAACACTTTACCAATTGTGATAAAAATTGCAGACATAAGGGATTCATATGTGTTAATTCTAAACATGAAGTTATTCATGGGTTTTTACCCTTAAATGATCAAACCGACCAATTACCGCCTTGTCCTAGAAAAATTTCTTACTTTTTAAAGGAAGATCATTAAGAGAGGCAAACGCTGTTATTAAAGTCCTTGTATTCCTCATACATTACTGTTTTATGACATTAGTGAAACCGATAAGACTTCATTAACGCTTGATAGGGGACTATCTTCTGTTAATGTTGAAGGGACGCGTTCTATACCACCGCGTTTTAGTTAATTAGCAAAATATATTATTATTCACTTACATTTCTTCACCATTTAACACAACAAACCTTCAATGTAATAACGGATCATATCTCTAGAATAGCATCAATTTTCTAAACTTACTTTAAATTCTTTATACCGTATTGTCGCGAATAACACGCAGGGGTGAAATTACAAATCTCGCCTAAATTATCCTTAATTCGGGCCAAACCTCTAAATACCCCCGTTATTTCGCGACAATACAGTAATATGGTTGACCCGACTTTAAGTCTGGATAGTAAATTTCAATCTAATATGAATGTTAAAATTGGGCAATTACAGACCTGGACAGTCATAATGTGATTAATATTATCTTTTTCAAGTATACACAGTAGGTAATGATTGATTTATTTCTGTATTAAATTGAATGCATTGCATTATTTTAAATAGATCATAATTGAATTGAAATTTTAATTACTTAATTATAATTCAAATTCTAGCTTGGAATGTTCTTAATTAATTTTAATTTATTTATTGTGTTTAATATTATTTGAATATCGAATTGTTTAAAATTTTGTATCGGTTATTTTTTTTAAATAAATTAATCAGCGAAAAAAATAAGTTACGTTTTCAAATTAAACATGTCTAAATTTTATAATCTTGCTAAATGTCATACCTGTAAAAGTGATAAGAAAAATCATTTTGCAGGATAGTATTGTGAAAATTAATATCGAATATGGATGTTCATGTAGAAGTTAAATTAAATACGCTATAGAAGTTAAATTTTAATATGTCATCATACATCACATACATCTAAAAACGACAATAACTGATAAATTTTGATCGATTGGACTTATGAAATCTGTACATACTTGTGACCGACGTTGGAACCCAAAATTTCTTACCTATTGACTGGACTTAAGATCCTCCGCTCTGCTCCGGAAATTAAGAGATTATTATAGCAAGTATTATATAAGAATTAATAAAATCTTCTTTTGGATATTGTAAAAATAGACTCTTTCCCGTAAATCTGCAAATCATTAGTAAATAAAAAAGTAAACAAACAAACAGATAAAGTTAGTTAAATAATAGTTAAAACAACCACAAACTTAGAGTCCCCGTGGACAAATCAGTGATACTAGACCAAGGACGAAGTAACTTTAGATGATTTATGATCATGATTGGTAGGGAGTTGCTCGCTGTGTTTTAATTCGAATAAACATGATTACATAGTAACATATGAAAAAAATAACAAAAAGAAATTTTTTCATGATCATATGAGTTTGCCGGATAACAGTTTATTATAATGAGCATGAAAAAATATATTTTTACATGCGTGCAATATTCTACTAGTTATTAAGCTGTGGCAATAGTTTGAATGATACAGTATGGCCCGGACTTTTGTGGCTGCTCTGGCAAACGGGGTTTAACATATTTTTCATATTATTAATAAAGCATTGAAACAAAGAAAATATTTATATCAAATACTTTTGTGCATTTTTCGTTTTTGTACTACGGTAAATTAGAAATCTTACCGTTATAATTTTCATGAGTCAAAAATATATTAAGCATACCGTAAATGTGTACAAGGTTGTGCTCCGGATGATCATGTGATGGTCCCGACGACTACTTAGTTGAACAAATTTAAATACAATTACAACAATGCATCAGTGATAACGATAATGATTTATTAATAAAGTCAATTTTTCTTCTGCGTTGCACTTTCATTTTTGTATCTTACGGTATTTGCACACGAAATTAAAAAAAAAAAAAAAAAGAAAAGGAAAAAAATTATATTTAGCTGATTGAAGAATAATTTAGGCCGATTTTTAGTATAATTATCAAACTTATTATCGTTATAATTCAAGTTCACTAAAAGATCTTAATTAATATTATATTTTATGCTTGTAAGGAAACAAAAATAAGTTCACTACAACTTTAATATCATTATATTATCCGTTAAAAGCTCTTTATTGTTTAAATAACATTTCGATACTTATTTGTATTTTCATAAGGCAAATTTTCTTAGTTCTTTATATAATAGGATCAACTATATATATACAAAAAAAAATTTTCAAATAAATATAATTGTTTTCATTAAATAGCTTTTTTAAAAAACTTTTCATTAAATAAAATATATAGACCAATGTTAATTTTTTTTTTTTTTTTTTGATATGTTCGTTAAATTTATTAAGTAATTGACTACGAATCTTAAAAATTTTGAATTCCGGAGTAGTTGTCCGACCCATATTGTCTTTGACCATTTTTTTTTTTATCACGATTATGAACTCAATTGATCGGCTAAACTATTTTCAAAAAATTAAAAATCAATTTCTGACCTATGAATTTAGGTGCATGAGAGCCCCGAACGGCTTGATAATAAGGCTATGCAATTTAATAAATCGATTTTTATAACCCAACTAGGTCAAAATTTACAAAACATTAGAAAAAAATTTTACAGCTATTCTCATATATTTTGGGACAAACTAAAAAATTGTCATTTCCCGAAATCTTCCAGTTTCGTCCTAAAGGTCACCTAACTCTTCGGAATAATGTCATTGATTTCGGAACTTCAATCCGATGTTTTTCCGGAGAGTTAGATGATTCATAGGACGAAACCGAAGAGATTTCGGGAAACGAGGAATTTTTAGTTTGTCCCAGAATTTATGAGAACAGCTGTAAGTATATTTACTATCCGGCGAGTATTTTTAAAAATTATATAAAAAATTTTATATGCTTTTTTATATATAATTTTTTGAAAATAAAATTAAAAGCCGGGTTGCCGGTCACTTTTAAAAATTTATGTTATCGTTTCTTTTTATGGTGATTCTTGGCAGTTGTAGCCTCCGGTTACCGCTGCATGCACTTATACCAGCTATACCTATATTGGTGGTCCCGAGTCCTCTTAACGCCAAAGCTCCCATACGGGTACGACCAGAGCCTGTTAGGTCTATCAACACGTACACGCCTCCATGCTTCAACTTCTTATTGGCCGGTGAGTTCCGTATGTGCCAGAGGTGTTCCAAATCTGGTAAGGCCAATTCTTTACCACAGGTCCCTTTGTGTTCACCACATTTCTCACCACTTTCCAATTCTACTGTGTTCATCTGGAGCGCAACCTTGTACACATTTACAGTATGTATATATTAATACACATGCGTCATTTTCTCATGATAAAATTAATATCCAATCTTCGTGAGTTAATTCTTGAAACAATGAATATGAGTCTTCTTTTATTATTAAAATTCTTTGCACTTTACTGCAAAAGGTCTTTTGTCCGAAGGTAGTTTTTCTTGTACTATTATTGAAATTCTTAAATCCTTTCTTCCTTCAAATCTAAATCGCTCACATATGAATACACCCTTGACTCTAATCGATATGTTTAGGCGACATTAATAATCCGCAAAATAAAATTTCAATCAAAAGACGAATATTTACTAAATTATTTATCATATGTGTATGACTTTATTTTATTAAATAACTCGAAATTTTTTATTGTCAGTATTAAACATTTTGTACATACACAGTCGTCCTACTATATAATCACACCCTCTTTATAGCAAAATTTTTATAGCAATTTATTTAAAAAAAAAAACTTTTATAATCCAGTGATGCGAACTGTAAATTATAAAGAATATAAATAATCTATGGTTTATTTTAAATCTATGGATATTGGTCAGTTTAAATTAATCTGTGGATTATTTGTATTATCCGTTTAATGTTTGGTTCGATTACTAAAGTAAAGGCAAAAGAAAGGGACAATCACATTAGAAAAGATGATCATTTTGTTTTTGGTCTTTTGCTAACATAACCTTATTCTGAACAACTGCTAAACAATGTTGATACAAATGGAAAGAATTTTGGGATACATTACTACTAGGAATAGTGTACAACAAAATGGTGTGCGATTCTCTGCATCTGATTGGATGATCCTTCCCATGAGATCATCTTTGGTGGTTGTTGATACAGATCATCATTAGATTAAACATGTTTGGATGTTTTTACAAATATATTCTACAAACTCTAAGGTATCATTTATTTACATCTTCCTAATAAATAAATAAATACATTTTTAATTAATACTATTTTTGACTATTCATTTATCATAGGTTTAAATTTGGTTTGTTTTTAATTAATATTATTTTGACTATTCATTTATCATAAACTTAAATTCGTTTAATTAAAGATTTGTTTTTTAATTAATACTATTTTCAACTATTCATTTATCATTATCCTACATATACAAATAATTTTCTAACCATTAGCAATGCTAAAATTCTGGTTAAGCGAAATTGTTTAAAAAAAAAAAAGGTATTTATATTAATTTTGCATATGGTTTAAAAATCTTTAAAATATTAATTATTAATTTATTAATTTAATTTTAGTTCATAATGAAAAATATTATCATATTATTTTTTTTACTATTTTTTTGTGTGATTGTTTCGGCATTATCATCATCTCGAAATATACTTGAAAGAGATGTTATTTGTTCTGATGGCAAAGGGAATTGTCCTGATGGTAATAGGTGTTGTGCTTCCAGTTCTGATGCATGGTGTTGTCTATCTGAATATGAATGTTGTGGATCTAGTAAAGCTAATGGATGTTGTGCTCAAAGCGCATTTCCAAGTATACCACCATCTAACCAACCGCAATCCTTGTGTGATCCATGTACATGGTGTCCTTCTTATAATGCATATGCATGTAAATATTTATTATTTTTGCCTTTATATTCTTTATATTATAAATTATATTAATCGATTTCAAATAATTTAAGGCACTTGTTCCCAGAGAGCTCCTATGTGCACAAGTTGTAATTGTATCAGTGGACCTTTTCCAGAAAATCCGCCGGGTTGTAATCGTTATCACAATTGTTCTTGTTCAGGATGTAGTTAGTTGTCGGGTAAGTGGTTGTTCGGTAAGTGGGTGTCGGGTAATTGGTTGTATTGGGGAAGTGGTTGTGTCGAGGAAATGATTGTCGGGTCGGGTAAGTGGTTGTTTGATAAGTGGTTGTTGGGTAATTGGTCGTATTGGGGAAGTGGTTGTGTCGAGGAAATGATTGTCGGAGAACTTCTTCCTCCTCTTCCTCCTCTTCCTCCTCTGCCTCCTCTTCTTTCTCGTCATAATCTTCTTCATCCTCCCCTTTCTCATATATATAATCTCGATATCTTAATGCAAATATATCATTTGGTTCAATTTTTAATGATTTATTTAAATCTGCTAGCGATTCTTTGAATTTATTTATCTTAAAATAAGTTGCTCCACGATTTTTTAATGCAAATGCATTATTTGGTTCAATTCCTAATGATTTGTTTAAATCTGATAGTGATTCTTTGTACTTGTTCATCTTGCGATGAGTTGCTCCACGAACTCTTAATGCAAATGCATTCTTTGGTTTAATTTCTAATGATTTATTTAAAGTGATTCTTTGTATTCGCTCTTCATGTAGTAAATTTCTCCAAGATTTCTTAATGCAGATGCATTGCTTGGTTCAATTTCTAATGATTCATTTAAATCTGCTAGCGATTCTTCGTATTTATTCATCAAGAGATACGTTTTTCCACGATTTCTTAATGCAAATGCATTATTTGGTTCAATTTCTAATGATTTGTTTAAATCTGCTAGTGATTCTTTGTACTTGTTTATCTTGCGATGAGTTGCTCCACGAACTCTTAATGCAAATGCATTCTTTGGTTCAATTCCTAATGATTTGTTTAAATCTGCTAGTGATTCTTTGTACTTGTTCATCTTGCGATAAATTGCTCCACGAACTCTTAATGCA